TGGTACAGTTCCCAAGATCTGTGCCGGACCAGCAGCATCGGCCTCATACGGGAACTTGTTAAGAACTCAGTTCCAATCCCAGGGCCACTTCTGGGGCTGGGACTAGCACTTGCTATTTAATAAGATTTAAGGATGATTCATTTTCCCTGTCTCTGTCTCTCTCTCCAAGGTGATTCTCAGTGTTCAAATGTGAGCACCATTGCTCTACAGGAACTGTAAGAGCTGAATCGCGCTGGGCACGGTGCTGTATTCCTGGAATCCCAGCTGCACTTCAGAGGCTGATGCAGGAGGATTGCAAATTTGAGCCCAGCTTGGGCAATTTAGCAAGACTGTCTCAAAATAAAAAATTCAAAGGGCTGGGGGATGGAGCTCAGTGCTCCCTGGGTTCAATCTCCAGTACTGCTAAAACAGATCGTTTAATTAACTCTTCCTCCAAATAGAAAAGAGCTTGCCACGTGAGATAATGTATGCTTACCAGGGTTGTTTGATGAATGGGCAGCAAGTAAGCATTACCTGCTGATCGCTGGGCACTGAGGACATGGTGGTGAGGACAGACAGACACAGCCTCCCTCCGGGGGCTTAGAGTTTGACGGATGAAGGAAATCCAAGCAAATGCGCTTGGGCCCAGCGGCCCTGAGGCTGCCACACTGCTCTCCTCTTGTTTGTCAACTCTTCACAGGCTTCGGGCAGCCGCCAAGAGTGGTGACCAAGAAGTTCAAGGCACTCTGGCCTCCTCCCCGGAGGTCTGGAAGGGGCATCACACTGGTGCTAGCGCTTCCCTGGGCCCACAGTAGGGTCCCCTCAGTGCTGGTAAAGTGGCTGTACCAAATCACCTTTGAGAATGGGTCACTGCAGTTGGTCGGACAGCTTTCAAAAATTCTTAAAAAAATCTTTTTGCCTAACTGGGGACTGAATGCAGGGCCTTCACACTGACCGACATCCCCAGCCTTTTTTTTTTTCTTTTCTGTTTGTTTATTTGTTTTTTGTGTGAACGGGTCTCACTATGTAGTTGAGACTGACCTGGAACTCACTCTGTAGCCCAGGCTGGTCTCGAACTCACGGCAATCCTCCTGCCTCAGCCTCCCGAGTGCTGGGATTACAGGTGTGCGCCACCACACCCAGCATTTTTTTTCTTTTTGATTTGGAGACAAGATCTTGCTAAGTTGAGACGTTGCCTAGGCTGAGCTCAAACTTGGGTTTCACTGGGAGAGGATCCGACCCCTGAATGCCTGTACGGAGAATGACGGGGAATGAAAGAGTCAGAGACGATATTCAAGATGCAAGGGGGACCGGGAGGAATCTGTGTCTAGTGCATAGGCTTCCGCGAATGCGTGCTGGGCCTGCTTTTATTATGTAGCAAGAAGTGCGAGGGAGAGAGCAGTGTACTATTTCAGGAACAGCGACTGCTGTAAGAAAGATTAGGGTAGCATCTCAAAGCTGACAAGCTGCGGTCCTTCCCCATACCTGGATGCCTGCATTTTTCATTGCCCTCAAGAGAACGCTGACGTTAGCTGCTATTACAGAAGGCTGTTATTACAGCTTTCCACGCAGCCAGGAAATCTGTAACCTTTTGTTTACTTCTCTGTTCCCTAGGCAAGTTAACACTGATCTTGGCACTGGGGGGTCGTAATGTATACATATTGTGGCTGGTCCCCAATAGGATTCTCCTGTTTCAGCCTCCCAGAGGGCTGGGATTACAGGTGTGCACCAGTCTGCTGGCTAGTCTCCCTGCCTCCCTCTCTCTCTCTCTCTCTCTCTCTCTCTCTTGTATCAGAGCTGAAACTTAGGACCTTGTGCTTTCTAGGCAGGCGGCAGAACCACTGAGCTAAATCCCCAACCCCTAACCCGGCTCCTGCCCTTCACTTTTATATGGATTATTAGTCTCTGTTTCACTTCCCAGTTTCACCCCCAAATTATTTTGTGCCGGTAGCACCCTTTCTATGTACTGAATATGAATTTGTAGGCAAAGCATTTGAAATCAGACTTACTGAGTGATTTATGCAGCTATCAGTTTAAGTATTTTTAAAAATAAATTTATACTTTCAAACAAAGGAAGGCCAGTTGTGCACATATTTCTATGGACACAGTTTCTGACTCTTTTAAGAGAGAAAAGTCAATTTTTTCCCCCGTTACAGAAAATAATCCCAGAGATGAAATATGAAATATTGTATCTCCCAACCTGTTAGCTGTGTGATACACTGAAGAATGAATTAATGAATTCTAGGAACAAGGAGGCCGGGTAGGAAGATATTTATTGACAGGAAAAGCTCCTGAGGGGCAGGAGGGGACCCGAGTGTGTAGCTCGGGTATCCTGGTTTACAGAGAAATTTTATAGGGCAAAACCCACGTGGGTACAACGTGGGCCACGGCCATGAACATCCAGTAAGGTTACAAGTGAGTCACTTAGGCACTAGTGGTCCAATGGGGAAACAAGTCACAGGGTAAGCTGGACGCAAAGAACAAAGATTCTCCTGGCAAACGGTGGGTCCAGAGGTCTCTCTGAGGTCTAACTAGACTTTATCAGGCCCAGTGTTTGTTCTCTGAGGAAGTACGCAGACCTGGTCATTTTGTCTTTATCTTGAGGCCTGGTTTTCAGCCAGTGTTTCTCTGGTGCAGCTGTGGTGTGTTTCACCTTTGTCCTGGCCCTCCTGAGAACCCAGCCCTGTCTGACTGTCTGTAATATTTCTGCCTAGCTCCTCTGTCTCTAATACCCTTAGTGCTGGGCATTGAATTCACAGCCTCACTCTTACCAGGCAAGCTCTCTACCGCTGAGTTACATGCCTCTCCCTTTTCATTTTTTATTTTGAGACAGGCTTTTTCTAAGTTGCTCAACTAGTCTCAAACTCATAATCCTTCTGACTCAGCCTCCCCAGTAGCTGGCGTTACAGGCAGGTATCACTGCACCTGGGTGGAAAATCAGTCTTGAGAGTTTCTTACTTCTCCTGGTGGCAGATTGCTTTTATTTCCACACACACAGAACCAAGAATCGGCAGTGTGGGGGTGTGGGAGGCTGAGGAAGTGATTTGGTGCTGTAGTCAGATCTGGTGGGGATATAAGGACACAGATTTCTGAGTTTCTATGGTAACCACATGTTTCAAAGCATAGGTGACAGGAGGTCAGATCCCGGGAGACTCTGGCTGCAGGACACCAGTGTCCTGGCTGCTAACAGTGTAACAGCTGACCTCTCACCTGAAAAGTCACCTCTTGTGACCAGCATGACATTGCTGTTGCTAACCTCTTTCACTTGGAAAGGTTCCTCATAGCACAGTTGCACAATGTGAGGTTCTCAAAAAAGGCTGTGCCCCCCTCCTTGTCACTTGGGTTCAAATTCTCACTGGGACATCCATAAACCAGAGGCAGAAAGAATTTGCAAAAAACAAAACGAAAAAACCATCCTAGGTACTGACACGGAAGCAATCGTCATAGTAAATTATTGGAAAATGTCGCATATCCAAGTCTTCCTCCAGACACCCTCAAGTCCCTTTGCCTATCAGGAATTGTTCATTGTTAGGCATCATGAGTAGGGACAGGGGTCCCGGTCTTCTCAGAAGTCAGCAGTGGGGAGCTGGGGAAGCGGGGCTCCCTCCCTGTCAGCTGAGGGTGTCCTCCAGGAAGGAATCGCCACAGAGTCAGGGACACGGGCCGAACTGGTCTCTCTCTGGACGAGGACTCGGTAGCCATGAACTCTTAGTACCAGCTCGAGCTAAGGCCAGGCCCTTTGAGCGCATCCCCTGGGACCTGCTTCTGGAATGGTGGCAGCTGACCCTCGCAGGAGTAGGGGAGTTGTGCTCAGGAAGGGAGCATCTTGGTTACTTTTTTGTTGCTGGGACCCACAGTTTAAAGGGGGAGCAGTTCATCTTGGCTCGAAGTGGTTGGCAGGATTCTAGGCAGCAAGGGCACGGGGAAGGGTTTGGGGGAGGGGAGTGTTCCCATTGTGTCGACCAGGAAGCAGAGTCAAGGGAGGAGCCAGAGAAGGGAGAGATGCCCGTCCAGGTCAAACCTGCAGCAACCCATCTCCAACAGGGCCACCTACCAGGGCATTCACGATCCCACTGCCTTCTCAAGCCTGCCTCTCGCTGAACACATGAGGCTTCTGGGAGGCGTTCTAGATCTAAACAGAACTGCAAGGCAGCTGAGGGTGAGGGGAGGCCTGTCAGAGGGGCTCCTCAGCAGGCCCCAGCGCTCCTGCACCACACCCAAGGGCCCCAGGCCCTCAACAGGGCTGAGGGGCAGGAGGCTGGTGGTGGGTGGCACTGGCCTTGCCTGGGGAGCGATTCTTCATGCATGTGAGGGTGGGGCCGCCTGGGGAGCAGGGACTCATCTGTTCACAAACACATTTTGTTTGAGATATCCCGTGGTTTCAAAAATTTGGGAAAGTGGGAGATTGCGTAGACATCTGGGTTTTCATTTTCTGAATACTTAGGAGATCCCAGCAGAACCTGACCTGTATCTCCATGTGACAAGAATCAGCTGACTGGAGCTGAACGTTGGCCATCCCCAACTCATTCGTGACTCGGGCTCTTGTTACTTATGAGTCCGGAACACTCGTGGCTCACAACCTTGATGTAGCTGAGAAATATTTGCTGGGCACCTTTTGCGTAGAGAGTTCGGATGCAAAGTCTTAGGCTCCTTAAAGGCTGTGTTTGCACCCAGTGGCCAGGATGCTTCTGGGTGGGGAGGCCTGGTTTCCTTCCCATTGGATTGCCCCTTGCAAGCCCACTTCCCCCCATTCCGCTGCCATTTTTGACCTAGACCATTTCATGAAGGACCCCTCTGACAAGTTCCCCATGAAACTGTGGAGTAACTGATACAGGGTTTGCATTTAGAACAAAGTTGGCAAAGAACGCAAGCAACAGTGCCATTTCATGTGTTGGCGTCTGTCTATTTTATTATCTATTAAAAAAAAAACCCAAGACCCTCCCTCCAACAAGCCCAGTTTGCAAATACAAATGGTAGGTTCACATTGAAAAAATAATTATCTCTAAATTTTATTCACTTGTAAAAGTTGAGGTGTAAGTTTGGAAAAACTCTTCCTTTACTGGTATGCATAATTTCCTAAAAAACTGCCCCCCTTTATCTTCAATCAAATTAAAGTTATATCAAGTGGCTGTACTAGGTCCATTTCAGCTTCTTCCTGAAAGGTGATGAGGCACCCTCCTGGGAATGCTCACAGCTTCAGAGTTTTGTTAGTGATGGCATTATAAATGCCCTCGGTCATGGGCACGTACATCTTCGCCGTGTCATCCAAGAAATACATGGCATCTTTGATGACGGTGGGATTAAAGCCTTCCTCCATGAGGGTCACTTTGCGGTGTTTAAAAGTTCCAGTGATCTCGATGGTGTCCTGAAAAAGGTGCATCCACATGGCGGTTAGGTTTGGCAGTAGATGAGGGTACAGGGAGACAGGCAGGGATCGGGCCCGGGGGTTTGGGAACTCACTGGTGTTTCTGGGTCCTGCGAGAGCTGTAAGTGTGAGCTTTTAGGATACCCAACAGCCTGTTTCCAGATGCTCATGAGGTGGCCTTATGTTCAGGATTTTTTTTTATTCCCTCAGAGCCTTTAGATCTTAAGGAGGGGTGGCACTCGGTGCTTTTCAGGCTGCAGGAATGGCTGGAACATCTTAGCTAACGTGGGAGGGGCGGAGGGATCATTCACACACAAACTCTGCCGTCTCCATCTGTTAGGCTGAAGACTCCCTTCGGTGATCACTGAGATACTGGACAATATTTCATTTTCACATCTCCTTAGCTTCTGGTGGCAAAGCCAATGCTAGCGCTCTATGAACACCAATAGAATCCTACAGACTGAACTGTGTAGCGAAACTAAGACTCCTTTGTTCAGGCCTTCAGTTATAGAATCACAAAGCCCCCGCATCTGAAAGTCAGAATGTCAAACTAACAGAAACGATTGAAGTTTGAGAAAGAAAAAACAAAACACCTTCCAGCAGTGACCTAGGTAAGCGGTTCCAACTGGCTAACGATGCCCAGCTGAGTTTTCCCCTGTAAAAAGGTGGACTTCGGTAGTTCCTGTACTCTTTCAAATTGAAAGGGCAACTAGGAAAGTTAGAATATTACTATTAGAAGTGCCACACCTCATCAGACAGAGTTTTGTGGGTTATTTGCTAAGGCTATTGTGGAAACAAGCTAGCCTGTCATTTTAGGGAGAAAGGGATTAGGGTCGGATTTCTGCTTGCTGTATTTTCTGATATTTTTGCTTCCTTCTCGAAACACAACACTTCTTTCAGAGCTTGCTGAAAAAGGTAGTGAAAATGTGGTAAAAGTCACCAAGGAGAAAGGGACCTGTTTGCTAAGAGACTGGGGTCTCCGACAGAGAAGAAAACTGCTACCTGCAGATGCCTCACCTGTATTCGCAGAAAGCGTGGCCTCGCATAGGGGGGCAGGTAGTCAGCAATGTGCTGAAAGAGTTTCTGTCCATCAAATTCATAGTTTTCCTTCATCTTGATGGAGGCCATGCCAATTCGGCCCTCGTGACCTAGAAGTAAGTGAGAAAACATTAGATGTGTTTGGCTGTTTATTCACAGCACGAGGCTTTGTGGATGGAGGTGTGAACACAGGTTTCTTTTGGATAGCTGGATTTTAAAATTTCAAATATATGTTAAGGCTGGCATTATTATAGATAGAGGAGTTAGGTAGAAATGCTACAGGCAGTCAGACAGGGCTGGGTCCTCGAGAGGGTCAGGACAGACGTGAGACACACCGCCGCTGCACTGGAAACACATCGGCTGGAAACCAGGCCTCAAGATAAAGACAAGGTGACCAGACCTGCACACTTCCTCAGAGAACTAATGACGTCTGGGTAGACATCGGCTGCCCCAGTGGTGAGCAGAGCCCACTGGACCCACTGCCTTCTAGGAGAACCCTCGTTCTTTCTATCCACGCTTGCTGTATGACTTGCCTCCCAGTTGGATCACCATTACCTGAGTGACTGCACTTGTAACCTTACTGGATGTTCATGGCTGTGGCCCACGCTGTACCCACGTGGGTTTCACCCTATACAACTCTGTAAAGCAGGGTCCCTGAGCTCCCCACTTGGGTCCCCTTCTGCTCGTTTTCCTGTCAATAAATATCTTCCTACTCAGCCTCCTTTGTTCCTAGAATGCATTCTTCAATTTCTAGAGAACAAGAACTCAGTGTATCATACCGCTAGTAGGTTGGGAGATATACTATTTCATATTTCATCTTTGGGATTATTTCCTGTAACAGCCTGGTGACGCATGCCTATCATTTCAGTGGGCTGAGTTGGAGGATTGCTGCAAGTTCAAGGCCAGCCTGGGCTACATGGTGAGTTCAAGGAGAGCTTAGACTACCTAGTGAGATCCTCTCTCTTAAAAAAAAAAAATCAAGTATATATTGTTATTCTAAAGTAATATACTAAGAGCAATAATAATGATGGTTACACATGCCTGAGTCTGGAATATGTGCCAGGCCTGTACTAAATGTGTTTTATGTCTTTTCATTTAACCCTCAGAAAGGTGCAAACGTCATCTCCATTTTACAGACGAAGAAACACATAAAGGCATTAAGAGACTTGTCCAAGGTCAAGCAAACACTAGGCAGCGTCCGGAACTGGACAGAGCCTACCTTCTGTGGCACCACTGTTCTTCTCAGTGGCCTCCACAGCGACACCTGGGGAGGACACAGGACTAACGGTGGCTGAGGGGAGTTTTTTCTGGATTGCAGTGGAAAGTCCTTTCCCTCATTGTGAACAGCTGAACACGGGCTCTTTAGTTGGCAGTGCCAGTCCGTTGAGTCTCCAGGCACAAACACCACCTTGGAGACTTATTTATTTAATCAAGGCTCCTAATAGCTTTGCCTGTTGCACAGCAGAGAAGCTGCAGGCTGGAGGGTGACAGGCGCAGGGTGGTGCTGTTGGGTGCCCTCCTGTCCCTGGTTCCTGCCCAGGGTCTCTAGAGAAACTGACTCTGCAGAGAAAACAGGTCCTCCCCAAGGGCTGTTAGTGGAGAGGGCCTGAGAACAATTACCCTTGTTTTCTTGTGAGGACAGTGGTAATTAGGCGCCAGACTCAGGGAGCCCAGTCCACTTCCCTGAACTGTTTAGCTGTAATCAGAGAGGGGGCGGGAGCTGTCCTTGGTCACCTGGGCTCCAGCTTTTGAAATCTCTCCCATGGGGACTGTGTGTTTATCTACAGCTCCAAGGCAGGCAAAACACAAAAGGAAAACATTATGAAAGAATGGCTGCCTCATTTGGTTTGCTCTCTCTCTGAAAGCCAGGCAGACCCTCTTTCTTTGGGGTTCCCTGGCCCTTGGCTCGAAGTCACGAACGAAGGCAGCAGTGGATGTGACAGACCTCTCTCATCGTCCAGCTCTGTGCTTCCTGCTCTGCTAGTGCAGTGCTGACCAAGATGCAGGTGGGCCTGCAGGCCTCAGGCCTCTGCCCCAACGCCCAGAGCTTGGTTTGGGATTGTGCAGCGCCAGGAGGAAGGTTCCAGTCCACAGCACCTGTGGTCTAGAGATCACTTCCGGCCAGAGGTTCTCCATCCAACGTGGCAGCCACTGGCCATGGTGGCTATGAAGACGAAATGGCATAAACTAAAATGAAAACTTCAACCCCTCCCTCAGCGGCATTAGCCACACTTCCAATGTAATAGCCCCATGGCGGCTCTTGATGGCCATTCTGGACAGTGAAAATAAAGAGTATTTTCATGCGTAACTCTCACGGCTCATGAAAAGGAGAATTTTGGATTTCCACTGGATTTAGTTTTTGAGACAGGGTCTTGCTATGTAGTTCAGGCTGGACCTAAACTCCCTCAGTAGCCCAGGCTGGCCTTGAACTCCCTCAGCCTCCCGAGTGCTGGGATCACGTGCAGATGTGTGCCACCATCCCCGGCTTGACGCAACTGGGTTCAGGTGTGTGGGCAAGGCACAGGACCCCATGCCCAGGGGAGTTGGCGCGCCCGGGAGCAGCGCTGCAGAGGAGGCGTGCTCGGGAGCACGGGTGGGAGGGCAAAGCGACAGGAGCCCCCGTCCCTGAATTCAGCAGCTGGAGGACGGCACAGCGACAAGACTTGCCCTGCTGGGGTTAAAACGATGTTCAGCAGCTGGATGCATCAGGTGTGCGCTCACGCCTGGAACATACCTGGCACGGGCACCCCATACACATTCACCTCCTGGACGAACTCAACCAGGCCCACGATGTCGGCGACCTCAGTGGTGGCCACGTTCTCCCCTTTCCACCTGGAAGGAAAGCAGAGTCACCAACGCTGGCGGCCGGGCTGCAAGGGCAGAGAGCACTGTCCCTTCCCCATGTTCTCGGGGACCTTGGCCCTCTGAGCCCACCCCCATTTAGTCAAGGCAGTCTGCTCGGGGCGCAAGGGGAAAAGCCCAGACCCAGGTAATAAAATGTGGAATTCCAGGCTTGCCACAGGAAATAGGATGGATAGGACAGTGTTCTCAGCCTGGGCTAAGAAAGGCAGTAGACATTGAAATACATTGGATGTAGCTTTTGCTGTATTCAGGTCTCTCAATTTTCTCATCTATTAACAAGTCTATTTAATTCACTTAGTAAATTGCAATTTAATAGAATTTCATATTTGTTCTCTATTTAATTCAATCATTAAATTACTATTTAATAGATTTTCTTATTTGTATTTCAAGGTCTCATGGCAACAAGACAGCCTTTTAATTAAAAAGAAAAAAAGCATGCTTTTTGGCAATGTTAATGTTAAGGCCTCCCACGTGCTATTTTTCACTTACTAAAGAGTTAAATTTTTTTTATATAAAAAATTCCTTAGCTCTCCAAGGAGTATTTCTCTCTCTCTCTCTGTCTCTCTCTCTATCTTTTTTTGGTACCAGGGATTGAACTCTGGACCTTGCACTTGCGTAGCAGGTGGCGGAACCACTGAGCTAAATTCCCGGCCCCAGAAGCATCTTCTTCATACTGTGAAGGTGGCATAAAGTCACGAGACGGACCCTGACATGGACTGTTGGGGATGAAGGTGCCCCAGGGTCTTCAGCAGCCTCGAGAGATGGGTGAGAAGAGCTGAAGACAGGAACGATTCCCAGCCTTGCCAGCCCAGCTGGGCAGGGGTAAGGAGGACGCGGAGCCTGGTTCTCCTCATTCGGCCACCACTTTCTGCTATAGTCAGACAACGGCTGTCCCTACCTCATTCCGTCCCATCAAAACGGACTGTATGGCAGGCGCTGTGCTGGGTGCAAGGGGCGGGCAGGCAGATGGCACCTGGGTGCCTGTCCTCAGGGAGCTCATGCGGGATGCCACAGGCTGCAGGGTTGCGCTATTACCAGGGATTCACTGCACAGCCTGTTAGGCTGACTTCCCACCTTCTGTGCTGACCCAGGCATCCTGTGGGAAACCACAGGGTCGCAGATGGAAGCTGAGAGGGAGGGAGGAGGGGAGGAGACAAGCCCTGCACCCTTTAGCTCCTCTTCACCCAGATGAACTTGAGTTCACTTGCATCTGATTTTATCTGAAGAGCCACCACCGGAAAGGTGACAATCCCTGCTGTCCCGAGAGTGACCACTGAGAAAGGACAACCAAGAGTAGCTGATGGACATTAAGCTCCAAAATGTGAGAGCCAGGGTTCCTGTCTCGGTCCCGCCTGGTGTGGCTCAGCCCCAGGAAATGCGCCGCTCAAGGCGACACCTGTGCTCTGGGAATCCAGGAGGTGAGGGGAAGTGAGGCCCTGCAGCGCGGATGGAACGGAGCAAGCCGAGCCACCAACCGAAATGTATCTCCCACTCTGTCATGGAAGTAGATGAAACCGTCATGGTCGATCATTAAGAGATCTCCACTGTTGAAGTAGACATCCCCTTTCTTAAAGACGTCTCTCAGTTTCTTCTTCTCTGTCTGGCTCTTTCCTCCGGCGTAGCCATGAAAGGGCGTAAGCTGTGTGATTTTGCTAACCAGCAGTCCAACCTCACCTAACACAGAGGAAAGGAAATTATTACTTTGTGCGCTAGACCTAAGTCAATTTTATCATCAACCGTCTCTTAAAATGGATGACCTGCGAGCCACTGGCTGAAGACAATATTTTTCCATGAACATATTCATGTAGAGCCCACACGTGCACATACATGTCTATCCTATACACATATGCACTGAACATGATTCTGTATGGCCACATGCATGACTATTTCACACCAGCCTCTTACTGAATGATTTATACACATAGCCAGACAAATGCCCTGAAGTTAAAGCCAAAGGTAGAGACCATCTCCTCCTTGGTTTGGTAATCACGACCACCACTCTCTTCCCACAAAACACTCACCTACCTGATCAGGAAGAAGTTGCTAAGGTAGTTGCAAAACTACCATCCTGTTTTTGTTTGTTTTCTTTGGTACCCGGGATCAAACTCGGGACCTTCTGCTTGCAAGGCAGGCAGCGGCACCACTGAACTAAATCCCCGGCTAACCATTCTGTTTTATTTAGCGGTAAAGGAGCCCCTTCTGGCACTTCTGTAACTGTCTTTGAGGGTACTCACACGCACCAGTTTTTTCCCCACTCTGGCAAATAACATGTTGGTCCTTAAACGTCACTTGGTCAAGATAAGGAAAGGCACGGGTTAACTGAACCAAAGTCCACCATACCTCTGGGGACTCTGATGCAAAAGCCGTTCTCATCTCGGACAGGTTCATCTTTCTCCACGTCATATTTAATCAGCTCATAACGCACGACTTTCTGGCAAAATAAAGAGGTATCACTGTGAGTAGAAATCTCTGCAGTTTTATAGACTTTATTAGCTAAAGTGCATAAAGCACACATATCTTAAGTGTTTGGCTTAGCGACAACTTGCATTTGTATAAACCCGCGGAATCGCCACCTCAAGCTGTGAAACATTTTCATTGCACTTTCCTTGACTCCTTTCTTGATGCTGACTGTACGCTGACTTCCGTCGCTCTTAATTTTAAACCTCAAATAAGTGAAGCAAGTGCATGCTTTTAGTTTTGCTTCTTTCACTTGGTATGTGTGTGAATATTCATCTCTCCACATCAGTGTTCGTATTAGTATTTTTGGGTTTTTGTTTTTTAGTTTTAAATTCCTTTTTTGCAGTACTGGGGATTGAACCCAGGGTCTCATTATTCTAGGCAAGAGCTCTACCACTATGTAATCATCTCTACCTCCCGTGACCAATTTTTACTGCTGCCTAATTTTCCCTTTAATAAATGTACAATTTACTTAATCTCCTGTTAATGGGTAAAATATACTATGGCTTATTTATCTTCCTGTTAATAGATACTAGAATGATTTCTGCTTTTAATTATTATAAAGACTGCTAGGAATATTCTTCTTCTTCTTCGTCTTCTTCTTTTTGGTACTGGGGATTGAACTTGGGTCCTTGCGCTTGAGGAATATTCTAATGCATGTATTTTGTGGACATTGTGATTGGGCTTTCAAAATCTTGTATAACTTTATATTCCTATGCTACCATTAGGTACTTCACGCTGCAAGGGACCTGCTGCCCAGTGTTTTTAGGGATCATAGGCAAAATTATTTCAGGCTCTTGAGCATAAAATTATTAAAACTCCATCCTAGGTAATATACAATTAAGTGGCATAAGAATTTATGCCATTGCCTCAGTGCTAGGATTACAAGCGCGCATCACCACACCTGGCTTATCTCTGGCACTTTTTAAAAAGAAAAACTTTTTGTTTTTGAGATAGGGTCTCTAAACCATTACACTTCAAGTCCTACTGCCTCAGCCTAGAGTGTTGGGCTCACAGGTGTGCTCTATCACATTCAGATTTTGTTTCTGTTTTTTTGTTTTTGTTTTTGTTTTTGAGACAGGTTCTTGCTGTGTAGCCCAGGCTGCCCTTGAACTCATGGTAATCCTTCTGCCTCAGTCTCCCAAGTGCTGGGATTATAGGCATGTGCCACCATGCCTGGCCTTGAGTATATTATTTTCTCTGCTAATGGAAAATTGCAAATGTGGCAATCTTTGTATGTAACTGTTAGCCACGACTCATGTATCCATTTCAAATTTGCACCCAAGTCCATTGGATCAAGTAACCAATCATACTCTGTAGTAGGCAGATAACTTCATTAAGAAACAAGGTGTCAACAAATATAGATCTTACTTATTTGCAACAATGTCAAAAATTTCTGGGTGTCTTTAGGAGGTGTAGTAAGAAATATGGCAAATGCGGCTGCCCAGTGCCATCCAACAGAGCAGGTTTGTGAAAACCTGACGGTGTGTCCTCATCCACCTTCTCCAGCCGATCGGGTACCACGTGACCTCTGGCTCTTCCTCCAGCCAAAAGGACCGCAAAGGGTCAACATTGTAATCTACTCAGGACATCGAGACAACCATGCCAGTGCAACTACAGACACTCAGGGAAGAAGATGCCAAGCTACCGCGGAAATTGGCAAGGACAATGGGATGAGCAAGTTGGAAGCCAGGGGAGGACTCTGAGGGGGTTCATGGCAAAGTGTCTTTTACTGTTGTAAGCTAAAAAAATTTCAAGTCACTGTATTTTTCCATCGCACCTTATAAAAAGTGGGTCTTAAGTTTGCACTGCTCCTAAACAACATCTGTGCCAACCTCAGAATGGGGGAGCCCACCGCTCGGGGTGTGGCTGCACCCTCCCAGGGGCCAGGGCCTTGGGAACCGGCAGCCTTGGCTCTATCAGCCCAAGTGTGAAGCACATCAGGGAGACTTCCCGTAACTGCAGGCGGCCAAGGAATAAGGAGTTGTTATTAACGGAGAGTGAGGTGTTTTCAACTGAGATGACCTTTTTGAGGTGATGGTCACAGAGAAAGAGCAAAGCTTTTCTTGGTGACACAGACGGGACACAGCTCTGAAGCTGCCTGCAATTCCGACAGTGGCACTGGCAGGACCCAGCTTTTAAGAAATCCCCGTACTTGGGAAACCATTTTCCAAAACACTTAACTCTTTGCAGGTAGTTCATTCTGCCGACCGCGCCAACCTTCCTCGGGTAATTCAGAAACCCGACGTTGCCTTCTGTGGATGCGTAGAACTCGTAGATCTGTATGTCCCCAAATCTCTTGATAAATTCTCTCCACACATCTCCACGTAAGCCATTGCCCAGGGCCATCCTCACCTTATGGTCCCGGTCGTTTGGTTTCTGTGGTGGGAGGAGAAGAGGGGGCTGAGCTGAAACATCCTGCATTTAGTCATAACTGTACGAATTGTATATTAATAACTGCCTTTATTTTCTACATATTTAATTCCCTTTGGTCCTGCTAAGTTGCTAATTTCCCTGGGCTGGGTTCAGATTTATGATCTCCCTGCCTCAGCCTGTACAGGTGTGAGCCTCTACTCAGCTCAGCTGGCTTCATTTTTCGTGGTTCTCAGACAACACAGGTGCAGCCTTCTCTACCACGGGCAGGTGATGTCTCCTCTCTCTCCAACACGGGCACTGTGTTCTAGCAGCTGGAATTCTGCCTTCCCAACCCAAAGACTTGGTTTGCTCATTTTATCTTTTTAATTTGATTTAAAAAAATTTTTTTAAAGTTGTTAGCACATACAGGTTGTATAGAATGGTTGGTTCTGGTCTGGCATATTCACGTATGTGTGTAACATACTTAGATGATGATTATTTTTTGGGTATTGGGGACTGAACTTGGGTCCTTCCCCTTCGAGGCAGGCAGTGGTACCACTGAACTAAATCCCTGGCCCTACTTTGATCATTTTTACTCCCCGGAACCTCCTTTGTCCTTCTCGCCCCCTTCCCTAAGAGTTTCCCTTGTATGATAAGGTCCTCATTTTGATTTTTAAGGGGCCACGCGAGAAACTTGGACAGAACCAGACTCTGCTAAGCAGGAGCCCATACCCAACAGTATCCGGAACAGTGTGGACTGCTTGGCTGACGGGGTGGTGAGGGTGAATGAGTTACTAGACCAGAGGAGCTGCATGAGTGCCAGAAACGGACACTTTCTATTCAAGAAGGACCTGGGCAACCTTTCTCGCGCTGGACCGACAGCTTCCACTTGGCAGTGAGGAGGGAGAGTGGGAACACAGTCGGGAGAGAGGAGAGAGAGGAGCGGCAATTTGGGGGCCTGAAGCCACACCCCCAGGCACCCCCAGCCGGAAGTCACCAGACCAGTTAGCCCTGAAGAACCAGCAAGACTGTCTCTAAGGGATGGAAGGGAGAGACGAGCAGGAAGCTGGCTCCCATGTGCTCGGGTGGCCTGGGAGGAAGATGCTTTGTTATAAATAAAACCCACAAAGGAAAAGCTATTTGGAGTGTAAGGGCGGGGGAGCTGGAGAGGTGGGGTGAGGGCCGCACTGTCTCCCCAGCCACACGCTGTTGGAGGCCCCAGCGGGTCGGTATGCCCAAACAATGGTAGTTCCAGTGTGGTTTCTACTGTGAGGTGGCTTCTGAGCCCTGGGGGATCGCAGCCTGGTGGAAGACACAGGTAAATATGTATAATTTTAGCTTGCAAATTCTGCAACCTCCTGACCTTCAGGCAGAAAACAATAGAAAGGTGGTAAAAGTGCTAGGTAACTCGGACTCTCCTCTCCCACCCAATGTTAATTAAGTGGGTCTCAGCAGTTGCTCACATCAGGTGTTTTCTGTATTGCTTCCCACCTGACTCACTGTGAAGGGAATCTGGAACATGAGTGCTTTCTATAAAGAATGATTTCAAGAGAGCAGCTGGCAGCACTGAGGAGAGCGGACCGCCGAGGCTGAACAAACGCTGCACTGGTTTCCTGCAGAAGCAGCAGCGGGGCCCGGATGTAGTGGACTCTGGGACAGAGCACGTTCAGGAGCTCTAACGGGACAGGTGGACAGTTCCGGTCACGGATGGCCCCTGAGCTGTCCTGAGGGGACGGTGAGGAGACCGGGCTCTCTAGTCAAGGGTCAGGAGCACTCCTGAGAAGCGCTGTGAACCCGCAGGGGCCTGGGTGCTCTGATGCAAAGGAATCTGTGCTCTGCCTCAGCTCCCTGGCTGGGGCCAGGGGTCACGGAATGGGGGCTCCCTTTCCTATGGCCAAGGACAGATGTGAAGACAGATCCCATGTCTGCTGGTGGGGCCTGCTTTGCCTCTGCCTGTGGCTCTGGTGACCCTGTCACCTCAGGTGTTTCCACTGGGAGCTATCCTTGAGGAATACTTACCTTTCCTTAAAAGTGACCCCTGTCCTCAGTGCTTCCTGTCCCAGGCCTGCGTGAGCAGCTGCAAAGCAGCACCTCTTGTGCAAGCCCAAGACCTGCCTGATGCCCCGAAGGCCAGATACCCTGCAAACTCTGCTCCCTCCTCCTCCAGTGGCCACCTCTCCCCTCCTCCAAGGCCACTACAGCTCCGCACCCTTCACAGGGCCTGGATCTGGGCTTTACAAGCAGCATAATCCCTAAGGGAAAACAGCTGACCTTGGCCAGGAAGCCCTTGGTTTCCCTGTTCTGTAGCTGGTGCATGGCCATGGCCACAGGGTAGGGCTAAGCATGCAGAAGGCACAGGTGCCCCGGATGCGTGGGCAGCTGGCCAGCATCACAGGTGCAGCTGTCACCTGGGGTGGCAGTAGCTGGGCTTAGCATCACAATAACACAGCGTCAGTTTTCAGCACCCAGCTGGGCTCTTATTACCCTGGCCAGGGGATTAAGGCTCTGCACTGGAAATGTTTGGAGACACGAGGAGGAAGTCCTGGAAGCTTCTAAGGTATCTGGTTCTCACCTTTGCTGTGGCTCACTGGTGGCCAAGAGTGGAGTGGGACCCAAGTTCTCCTTTCCTAGAGGAAACAGTGCTTCTCTGCCACCAAAGTCACACCCCACAGGAGCAGGCTTTTGGTCACGGGTCACCTGCTCATTTTCTTTACAAAGGATCAAAGCTTCCAGTCCACATTCTTGCTGAGGCATAACCCTGAGACTTCTGTGCACACTGGGTCCGGGACTGACAAAGGGCAAGAGGACAGGCTGAGGGGGGGCGCGGGGGGCCAGGTGATTAAAGCGAAGGGAACACACGTTGGTGTCAGGCTCTGGCCTGTACAACCTTCCCGAGGTGTCTTGCCCACTCATCTAGACTGTGATCTCAGGCTACCCCTGGGGACGTGGAGCATCAGGAGACTTATAAATGAGCCCAAGACCACAGAGACAGCAATATAGCTGCTGCAAGATTCAAATCCAAACCTATCTGACTTCAGAGTGTCCTTCCTGGGTTTAATTAAAAAAAGAGAAATAAAGAGAGTGAAACATCCAGTTTAAGAATCAGATAGTACTGAAAGACTTTTTTTTTTTTTGATACTGGGGATTGAACTCGGGTCCTTGCACTTGCTAGGCAGGCCATGGAACCACGGAGCTAAATCCCTGGACCCTGAAAGACTCTTAATGAAGAATCCAGTGTCCCTGCCCCTACTGGAGGTGTACACTTTGAACTCTGCTACTGTTTCTTCATATCTTCACATTTTTAAATTAAATACATATATTACTGTCACTCAATCCATCAATTTTAGATTTCCTGCTGTGCTTGATCAGAATTCAATGCCCTCCTGGCCTACTTTTCCAGTGTCCCACATTTTGGATAAAACAACATTCAGCACTCATATTACTTTGCTCATAATGCACTACCAATGAACCAAGTGATATACTGCAAAGAAATTCCTGAACATATTTGCTGTTTTTGGAATGAACTGCCTCCCTGGCTGTTCTCTTCCCCTTGCTAGTTTCTATTTATCTTTCTTCACTCTCCATTAGCTTGAAAGCACAATTTCCCTTAAGAGGAATTTACTATGTGACACACTTTCCTTTTCCCTGTTCCGCTTCATTTTGCTCTCCTGCTCCAGTCTGGACTAACTGCTCTCTAGGGCTGACTCTCCTCTGTCTCTTTCCTGGACACTGTGTCTTTCTGTTTTCATTCTCCTTTTTTTTTTTTTTTTTTTTTTTTTTTTTTTTTTTTTTGAGACTTTGAGTGACATATTCTTATTGCACCCCTGGTTGATACCACAGCTGGGTATAGAATTGAGATAGGTGGTAACTTTTCTTTAGAATCTGAAAGCACCATTCCTTTGTCTTTGTGTTCCTCCTGGCACGGACTACTGTGGGTGATCCCAGTGTTCTTAGAGAATCTCTGTCTCTCTGTCTCTCTCTCTCTCTGCTTCCCCCCCCCTTTCCATCCTTAGATTTCAGTGTGGCTCTCACCTCTGGAATTTTGTCTTCCTCAGCCCTACTGCGTCTGGCCTACTAGCTTTCAGCTTTCTGTACCGTGGAGTTCATGGTTGCAATGTCTTTTAGCTTCTTACACAATGGAGCTGGTGTGTTGTTTCTTGTGTCCCTTGTTTTTGGGTGATTGCAAGAGGCGAAAGATCTTCACCATCTTAGAAAATTCCTGAGGCCATGTTTTTTTTTTAAATTTAACTTTTATAATTTTCTTAGCACATAATATAGAATAATGGGTTTTGCTGTGGCACACTGGCTGATGCATATATTTGATTATTTTCATCTCCTGTGACTCTTTTCCCCTCTCTGTTCTTTTCTGATTCTCTTCCTTGACTCTAATAGTCTACCTTCTACTTTCCTGTCAACTCCTTTTTCTTTCAAAGATTCCTCAAACTGGACATGGTGGCGCATGCTTGTAATCTCAGCACTCAGGACGCTGAGGCAGGAGGACTGCTGTGAGTTTGAGGCCAGCCAATATTTAACTTTCTGAGTCTGGCTTATTTCACTTAATGTGATGGTCTCCAGTTCCATCAGTTTTCCTGAAAGACATGACTTTGTTTTCTTTATGGCTGAGTAATATTCCTTCACGTTTTCCTTACCCACTCGTCTACTGATGGGCATTCAGGCTGAGTCCTCACCTCAGCTACTGTAAATTGTGCTGAGGCCACGTCCTTAACTCCTTCTGCCTGGCACCCTGTCTGTGTTAGCAGAGGCTTCTGAGGCACTGCCTCCCTCATCACCCTCCTGCTGGGGCCTTTTGGGCTGCACTTGTCCTGTGCACAGTGACATCACAGCACAGCAAAGCCCTCATCCCTGGCCACAGCCTCCCATCCCACCCTGCTGCCTGGGTGGCGGAAGCCATCCCTTCAGACGCCTCCCCCGCAAACCTTTCTGACTCCCCACTCCCTCGATGGTTCCTCCTCCTCCAGCCAACGTGCTGCTGCCACAGCCCCCCTGTCCTGTTTCCTGCCGATGCAGGGGACTCAGGCTGGGTGGGACCATGAGGTCACCTTGTGTGGGAGGGAAGGCAGACAACGCGAGTCTGTTCAGCTCTGCAGGGTTCTCCTTCATCTTATACACCCTTCCAAGCAGCATGTCTTTTTCTTGTAGCGCCTAGAAGTGTGTGTGTGTGTGTGTGTGTGTGTGTGTGTGTGTGTGTGTGAGACTGGGGTCTTGGAAAAGCTACAACCTCAGCTGTTGTGTTTCTGAAGACAGGGTCATGCTAAAGTTACTAAGTTACCCATTCTTGAAATTGCAGACCTCCTGCCTCAGCCTCCCGGAGTGCTGGGATTCTGGACCTGCACTTTATACCTAGCTGTTAGAACTCTAGTATATTCCTTTCCCTCCTCTTTCTCCTGTTCCCTTCCACTTTTAGGCCCCTTACTATAGCTTAGTTCCTAAGTGGAGGAAGAAAAACAGTTTCAGCAATTTCTCATTCCAAACAATAACTTTTTCCTAAACGACCTTAATTTATACACCTACCTGGGGATTTATTCATTAAACATCAAGCAGCGTTTCCTGCATGCTTTTGGTATCTGGGAGGACAAGAACACAAGATACGGCCCCTGATCTCAAAAAGTCACAGCCTTGGGAGGAAGGGAGGTAGGAAAAGGCACACAGCTGCCCTGTGAGCTACACGCAGCAGGGACACAGTGGTGCGAGCACAGGGAGCAAGGACTTCAGTCCGAGTGGCTCAAACAGGCTTCATGTATGAGCTGTCGTTTGAGCTGGGCTCTGATGGAGCTTTTTCCTAAGCAGAGAGGGAAGAGGATGCGTTATGCAGTGGGTAAGACATGGAGACAGCAACAGGCCAGAAATAGTAATCATGGCAAAATTAATACTGGCAGTGTGGGCTCAAGCACCTGCTCACAATGAATATGGACTAAACAGTATTTCCAAGTCGGCTGGAGCCTCGCACAGCCCCAAGTCACGGAACCCCCATCCCAACAAGATAATAAAGTGCACGTGGCATTACCGGGGGTGTGTTGCACAAATACCGGAGCAGCTCCCCGATATACTGAATGACAGTCACGTTGTATTTTCTGCAGTCGTCCCAAAACTGGCTGGCTGAAAATTTCTTCCGCAAAACCATTGTCGCACCTACAGCAAAGGCACAGAAAGTGTCAATAAGGGAATGCTCCAGAAGGTCTCATGTTTGTCACTTCTCAGAGGTGGAGGTTTCAAAGTGAATTCTACTCACAAACAAGTGTTGAGTACATAGTATATTCAGTGCACGAAATGAGCAAGATACAGAGGGAGAAAGGGAGGGAAGGGAAGAGAGAGAGAGAGAGAGATTCTTCTTGAGGGTTAGGGTTGAGAAAGGCATACTTTAGAAAAGGAAGGATTTGGGTTATGAATATGGAGAGAGATGAGCGAATTCTCTACCGAGGTGAAGCTTGAGCCACGCCCAGTGATCTGGAAGGTGCTGGGGCAGCCAAGGCTGTGGCTGGGCCTGAGGCTGGGGAGAGGGTGGGTGCCGCGGGAGATGCACTCAGGGAAGCAGTTAGGGTGCGGTCTGGAGAGTCTGGAAGGGCCAAGGTCTCCAGCAGGTGGAGGGTGGTCTCTGATGCATGAGGCAGACAGGATGGTGGCTCCCCAGATGTCCGCACCCCAATCCCAGAGCCAGCGAATATGCTGTCTTCCTCGGCAGGAGGACTGCCTAAAGGTCTCAAGATAGGAAGATCATTCCATCTGGATGCGCCCAATGGGGTCACAGGGTGCCGAAGGAGGGGGACTTCCATCACCACGGCAGGAACTGAGGAAATCCACGAGGTCTGAAGCTACTGAGTTCACGTTAATTGTTATAGCAGCAATGGGAAGCTAATACAGTGGGGTAAAAAATAACCTCACATTCAACTGAACGATAGGCATTCGAGTAAAAGTGAATTTCAAAACTTTTCAAAATAGTTTTTCATGTCATTGGTTTATTTTTCCTCCTAAGTACATGAAGACCAATGTTTTAGAAGGGAGTATTTTTCCCCCTTAAATATCACCCTCTTCTTCAGCGAGTATTTTCGGGGCTGCAGTCTGTACCCTTGGAGGTGCAGCTCTAGCCCAGGCCCGGCGGTGCCGACCCAACGCTGAGCTGGGTACTTTAGAGCTGGCCCTTCTCTGCGCGGGAGGAAGCAGAGCTCAGACCGCCGGCGGTGCAGGAAATGAGCACGGCCGGGTGGTTAAACACGGAAGGTTTGTGGCTCGCGGTTCTCCGGGCTCCGAAGTTCAGACTCCAAGTGCCAGCCAGTCCCGGGTCTGGAAGGACATCTGGGAGAGGCTATCCTCCCCTGCCAGCTCTCTCTCATTAGGACACTCATCCTGGGCTTCAGAGCCCTGTGTTCGGGACCAGAGACCTCCCGAGTGTCCTCCGGCGTCACTGCGCCGGGGTTTAGACAGCCCGGGCACACACGTGGGAGTGCGTGTGCCTGTGTGTGCACATCTCATTTTGAGCAGGGGTGTGTCCACCTTTTTAATGTCTGTTTAAAATGAAACGTCACACGGGAGAACAGGTTAAGGTTTCTGGCTTGTTCAGAGAGTTGGCGAGAGCTCCCGGGAAGGGGCGGCTATGGGTCAGCACCCGTGTGCGCCAAGGCGGCATAAATCCCCGGAGGGAGCGGGCTGGCGACTCCCGCTTATGGGGGGTCTGAGGAGAGGGAGGACGGGGCCGGCCAAGTAACCCGACAGGGGCAGAGGGGCCTGGGGAGGTGAAGCTCCTCCCTGACGCCGTGGGGACCGCGTGTGAGTTTCTGAAGTGGGAAGTGGCTCCGGGAATGAGTTCCAGCCTCTGAGAATCCGCCGTCTACCTCGGGGGAAGGCGTACACTGTTTTAAAGAAGTTTCTCTCTTGATATCCCGAAAAATGATCACATCATAGGATCAAAAAAAGCAGGGATGAAAAAGGGAATTTATTTCGGACGCCGGACTCGCCTGCATGGCAGCCAAACGGCCCTGCTCCTAGGGAGGAAAAAGCCCGCTGGGGAAGCGGCCGAGCTCTGCTCACCGGACACGATGCAGCCGTGCAAGCCGACCAGGAGCGCGGCGCTGTGGTACAGGGGCAGCGAGGTATAGACCACGTCGTCGCTCCGCAAGCCGCTGGCCATGCTGATCCCAGTTCCGTACCAGATGCGGTGGTGGTTGATGGTCGCAGCCTTGGGGAGACCTGGGCGGACACGGAGAGGAGGCGCCGGTGAGCCGGACGGGCCGCTGCCAGCGCAGGCAGCTTCGCCATGGGCCTGGAGCTCTGAGCCCGGGCAGCAAACTCTCTCGGCTTTCTGGGACCCGCGGTCACAGTGGCAAGGGCTCAGCCCTGTCGCCGCGGCCCAAAGCAGCCACGCACACGCGAGGCGGGAAGCCCGGCTGTTTCCATAAATGATTTACAAACCCGGGTCAGGGCCCGCTTTTGGTCCTCGGCCCACAGCTTGCCGAGTGCTCTCACAGCTGCTAACGACTGCAGAGTAGGCGGGAAAGAGACGATGCAGGCTGAGTTTCTGCCGTGTGCCACCACTCGGCAAGACATTTTCAAAATTTCATTTAACTTTCACATCGAATTTAAGCGATAAATAGAATATCCTCCAGTCCTCAGATGAGAAGGGTAACATGGCAAGACATTAGTACTTTAGAGAATAAATACCCCATCCATCCAGTGACCTTCTCTCATAGCCGCTTTTACTAATCTCTTACCGTTCTGGGGTTTCCTTATATAGATACAGGCAAATACGAACCCTGGCTCATCTGCGTTTTCCTTTTCCGTGAAAATTTATCTAAGCGCCCGTCTGCACTTTTTTCTCGGCCTCAGTCTTTCTTGGATATCTGGCTGTGCTGAACACTGTTGTCCGTTCATTCATTTCTCTGCTGCCTCACATCCTTTATATGAAAATGTCATAACCGACAGGCTGCGCCTTTTGCTACTTTGAATGGCGCAGTGGTGAACCACACCCATATGGGGCGAGGCTCCTGGCGGAGGACTCAAGCCCGTTGTGCAGACAGGTGACGGCCACACTGTCAGCGCTAAGGGCTGTCCCCGCTCCCCACCCTCCTGTCAGTACCCCAAAGTGTGGCCAGCAGATGCTCTCCAAGGCTGGCAGTCTTGCCAATCTGAAAAATGGTATCTCAGTGTGGTTTCCGTGCACTGGCTTAAACGCATTTGCATTTTCTCAGCGATAATGTACATCAGTTTTTTGGCTAAGACTTTCCACGGAAAGTACAGGCTTATGTTGTTCCCCACGGGCGACAATCAGTTCGGCTGGACCGGGGCTGGGCTGGGCTGAAGACTGGAGAGGCGCCGTGAAGAGGAGCAGATCTGGGCTGCTCAGACCCCTCCGTCCTCAGCAGGACCGCGGTCAGCTACTGCCCACAGAGGAGATCTGCTAGCAGGCAAAGCAGGACCGCCAGTGAGGCACCGTCCCCGTAAAGGCCAGTGCCCCCGAGCTGAGATTAATGCCCTATTCTACACTAACATTAAGAAGTAGAAGAAAGCATCAATAAATCAATTGTGCTCACCTTGGAAAAGAACCCTTCAACTAGTGAAAGCTTTGAATTACCTTTTTTTTAAAAAAAGAAATACTCGCCTGTGGTTTTGAAGTACTTCCAGAACTTTTCTAACTTAAGATTATATATTAGTGGATACATCAGAATGTTCAAGAACTATTATATAATTCTGTGCTAAAGAAGTCTCTGAGTGACAAGAAAAACATTTTTGTTCTCCCGTTGTTTAAATGAGCTAATTAATGTTTACAAGAGAAACTTAGTGAATGTTTTACAGATAAGGAAAAAATAAACATGAATTCCACTGTCTTCCAATCAAATATGCTGTAAATCAGAACCATTTTTCTTCCCTAAACTGGCGCTTTCGTTTTCTTGCCAAACACAGACTGAAGTCCTGCAGCTACCTGCTCAGTATGGGGGCCAGAACTTCCTCATCAGGAACCAAAAGCTCGCTTTTCTCCATTATTCCCTGAACAATTACTTCCTAAATAAAGCTTAAAATTTAGTTTTACCATTCTATGAAAAAAAAATGAAGATAAAAAATCCCACCTATTAAGGAAACACCTACTCCTGGTAGAAGCAGTCACTTAAGTCACTGACTTTTCCGCCGGCACAGTAAAGCATAACTTCTTTTTTTGTGGTATTGTGGATTGAGCTCAAGGACTTTGCACCGAGTGACATCCTCAGCCCATTTTATTTTCTATTTTGAGACAGGGTCTTGCTATGCCACTAGATAGCCCAAACTGGGCTTCAGCGTGTGATCCTCCTGCCTCAGCCTCCCAGAGGGCAGTGATGACAGGTGGGCACCACCACGCCTGGCTAGCAATGTATAATTTCTGACAAACAAAACAGTGATAGACACGATGCTTTTAGGCACCAGCTTACTACGTCAGTCCCTGCTCCCCCTCCTCATGAACTGGATGGAAACAGTGCTGGAGGAGGGTAAGGAGGCCAGCACTCATGTTAGACTCAGTCACTGCAAGCTCAGTGGGTGCTGGGGGCCCAGGGAAGCCGAGGAAAGAGCTCCTGTTGCTGAGGCGTTGAGATCAAATGCTCAGTGGAACCTCCATAATGTTTATTTCATAAGGAGATGGCAGGCACACACTACCTGTTTAACTTACACGAACATTTGAATCAAAAGAGACAAAAGACTCATAAAATATCCACTTTCCCAGTATTCATCATCACAGCCAGCACGCTGGGGATGGCTTCCTGCCCTGCCCTGGCTCCACATTCTCACATTGGGCAGCATTTTCCGGCCCTAGAGTAGTGAGACCATGAACTTCTGCGCCCCAAATTAACCAGGGGCACTGCCACCCCACCAGCACTGTTGACTGTGCGAGCCGTGCTGTCACCCTACAGGGCGAACCCTGGCACTCGGCAAGGGAAGCTCTTAACCCTTCCGCTGGTTCCTGAAGCTGTCAGGTGGGAACACAGCACTGGCCTCAAGGGTGGTGGGGGAACCGAACGAACAGACGCTGCGAAGCTCCTAGGACAGGGCGGCAAACCCGGGGCCCGCGTGTGGTTTCTCTCTGAAGACAAAAGATGTTAATGTAGGAGCTGTTTTCTTCTAAACCCAAACCTCAGTATTCAGGTTTAATGGTCGTGTTGGCGCTGTGTGATAAATAAGTGGGTTTGGGCTGCAGATTGGGTGCCCGTCTCTAAAAGGTTTGCCACCGCTGTCCGAGGAGAAGGGCTCCTCCGCGTGGTCCTCACTGTCACTTGCTCCACACAGCAGTGCTCCCACAATGCTGCGAACGGGCAGGGCTTTTCCCCGGTGCCTCCTGAGATGACGGCTCAGTCGGAAGGTGGTCGGGTTAAGTGAAATACTGTATTTTATCTGTGCACCGAGCAGTTCTGAGTCACTGCTGCATGGGAAAACGGGTCAAAATGTTTGTATAAATATCTCCCCTGGCTGTGCTCTGGTGCTGCATGTGTAAATGACCATACATCAGCATGGATTCTGGGTATAATATAATCAGAATGCAACAGATTCATTCAGGGCCAAATCTCCTCTGGCACCCTATTTTTGTAGGCTTTTTGGTGGTACTGGGGATTGAATCTGTGCTCTACCACCGAGCTACATCCTTATTTATTTATTTATTTATTTTACTTCGAGACAAGGTCTTCCTAAACTGCCAGGCTGGCCTTGAACTTGCGGTCCTCCTGCCTCAGCCTCCCGATCACAGGTGTGCACTGCCGCACCAGGCTGTGGTTCTGGTTCACTCCTTTATCTGTTCTATATGGGCTGTGGGGAAGTATGTGTAGCTGGGAAAAGCCCCAATGACATCATATGCAATGAAATAAGATCAGTTCTCACGGCCAAGGAGCTAAATCCCCTGAAATAGTAGTTGCCAGATAAGTTTTGCCAAAGAAAGAGAATATTTAAACACCTAAGCCAACACGTAACTCCTTCAGAACAGGTCCATTTCTTTGTAAAGCCTGTCTTTACTTTTTACCTGTGGTTCCAGAAGTGTAGATGTACAAGGCGGGAGTAGAGAAGGTGACGTCTGACCTCCAGGACTCCGGGACAGGGTCCGATGACGCTTCATCCACCTTGTCCAGGAGCGAGCTGACCCCTTCGGTGTGGGAAGTCCTGCTTGTGTAGTAGACGGACACCCCACCTTCCTTCAGGCTTGGGAGCACCTCTTCTACAGCACCTTGGAGCTCTTCATGTAACGAAAATCCAAACGAACGCATCAGCCCCTTAAGTTTAGCGTGACAAGTTTCATGATGTGTGCACAGAAAACAGTGATGCTCAGAACAGTGTGTTTTATTTTATTTTATGGTTGGTACTGGGGATCAAATGAGCTGTGGATCTTGCACTTGCAAGGCAGGTGGCAGCACCACTGAGCCAAATCCCCGGCCCTCAGTGGATCTTTTAACATGGAATTTGCTGCATTTGGGAACAAACCGCAAGATTCCAGCGTTTGAGGGAAGGCAGGCTGAATTTTGTGGGTTTCATAAGCAAGGCAAGGGGAGGGGTTGAGTGAAACCTGTCCTTCCAAGGGTGAGTTCATACTACTAGATATGTGGATAAAAATCAAGGCACAAAAGTGCATACCTTATGTGCGTAACTGGTACATAACTAAAATTAAACCGGAAATGAATTTAGCTATGCCTAATATGTGTCCCACAGAACCAAAGATTTTAAAAAAGGAAAATTTTAAGAAAAAGCAGAAGTTGAAAAAAAGGAGGCATACCAACCAGCAACAATGTGAGAAGCCAGATTTGTAGAACAACACGAAAAAAATTTTTTTAACACATCAACAACACATAGTTCCATTAGGAAGGTTTAGCTGACAGGAAACGTTAAGTCTAAATTTCATAAGCCCTTTGATTTAGAGAAAACTGGTTCATCAGCTGTGTTTTGCAAACTGTAGGTCACAAGATAGTGGTGTGTTACGATTGTTTAAACTGACCAGTATTACCACAAATTTACACAGAATGAAGCAGACATTTTCAGATGACAGCCAACAGGAGGAGCAAAGTATTAATTTTTAAATTTTGCTTTAGTTCCGTGAGTGTGTAGGTACTGGGTCACACACAGACTGATTTCATACTGGGTCAGGCAAAAAATCATTTTCAAAGTTCTGTTTTAATATACAGACCCCATTTTCTATTTACTACCTGGATTTTTTGCACCCTTAATCCAGAGGTGGGACTCCTTTGAATTGTACTTTTCTCGACTTGTAATAACCGCAGTGAACATGCTTTTTCCAAACAGGGAAGTGACTCAGGACCCCAGGAATCGCTGTGGGGAGGCAAGACCTGGTTCCTCGGCCCTGTGCTTTTCCGGAAGTTTGCATGTAGTGACTCTATCAGGACGGGAAGGGTCCCTGGGACAGAGACGCATTTCGATTTTTAACATGCTTGGCACCCAAGTGCTGGGTAGGAATAAGTCAAACCGTGCCAAACGGTCTCTAATGGAAACCAACAGGCTCTGAAGCCAGCTACTTAGGGCCCACACTTTCAACTTTGTTTTTAATCAGCAGTTTCTTTTTCCAATCATCTCTCATCACTGAAAGGTGTGCTTCTCCTCTTGCTTTGGAGCTCACTCCGGTCTCACTGTCCCCACCCCCGCAGTCATTACAGGCGCTTTTCATTGCCTGGGTTAGTGGCATTGCCGTCCACTCTTGAGAACACAAAGCACCCCCGCCCGGAGGGTTGGACAGGTTCATTCTAGAGGGGGAGATGCAGGGGCGACAGGAATAGGGTTACAGTCACCGCAGAGCCCGCGACTGCCCTGCCACCGACTTCCCTTTCTGGCTGGGGTTTTCTCCCAGTTCCCAGCTGGTTCTCATTCTTGGACTTTTCCTCCCCCCACCCCGCCCCCTGCTCCAGGAGCCTTCTTTTACGTCCTCTACTATTTTAGATTTTTTTTTAAAAATTAATTTTTATTAGTCCATGTTTGCATGATGACCTCCGTTGCGGGGAGGTGAAATGGGTACATAACACACCTTAATTCTATGTCCCTTCCGTCCGCTCTGTGCTTGGAGGTCCTCAGCACTTTGGAAAGCTTCACAAAGATCTCTGTCACAGAAACGCCAGACTCAGGTCTTCCCCGGGCCGAAGACCTTTCTGCTAAGCTCCAGCTTCCTGGGCCCAGTTCTGGAGCCGCCCTCGCACCTCCCCTGGCAACAGGCAGAATCCACTGCCCTGCTCCGAAGTCCCCAGGGCCGTCCCAGTCCCCGCCGGCCCTTCCCACGCTGTCTCCCATGCCTCTCAGCCCTCCTCTACCCCCGCAGGTCCCTCACAACCTCTGTCCAGACCGTTTCTTTGGCTGTGATGTCCTCTGCCCGCCCCCGCCACCGGGGAGATGCTTGCTGGTCCTTCAAGGCTCAGCCTAGGGCCAGTTCTGTTCTGTGGCTTCGCTTTCTCTGTGGAATTAGCTGCTTTCTGCTTTGGCCCCTGCAGGGGTCTGAACGTGTGCCTACCAGGTACTCAAAACACCGTGCTCCTCTTCTGTTACACAGGGGACCTCTGAGACTGAGGGACCCTAACATAATCGCTACTGCCCCCCTAATAATAGATGAGTGCTCCATAAACCTTTCTCTCTTTTCTTTCCTTCCCTTTGTTCTTCTTCTCTCCTTCTTTCCGCCCTCCCTCTTTCTGTTCTCCTTTTCCCTTCTTCCCTTCTCTCATGGGCTGGGTCTTGCACACGCTTCTCAAGCACTTTACATCGGAACTACACTCCCAGCCCTCAGTGAATGTTTATAATTGAAAGAATCTGCACAAAGTATTATTGAATTACTGTGGAAGAGACACAGAAAAAAAGTGAGAGCCCCGTATTTCAGGGATTCAGACCTTAAGCAGTAGTACGAGTTGACCAATTCACAGAAAATTAAATATAAATATAAAATGAAATCATTTCTGTGGCTCAGGTTGCCTTGCACACAGTCAGGGCCCCTTTTCTGAGGGGGAAGCCATTGTCCCTGCCAATACAATTCATCTCCTCCAGGCTGTGGTGCAGATTTTTTTTTTTTTTTTGTACAGGGGCTCACACTCAGGACCTCATGCTTGCCTGGCAGGCGCGGCCCTGCTGAGCTACATCCCTGGCCCTGTGGTGCAGAGATTATTTGGGCATTGGACTTGAGCTTCTGTAGCTTTTCTATTGTATCAGACGCATCACATCGGAGGAGCCTTTCCAAATGACGACAAACACAAAACACAAAGTGGTGCTCACACAGCCCCTGGGGACAGTGTGAAAGCAGCTCTCACAATGACACCTGTCACTGACTGTGACTGTCACTGGCAGTGTGGAACAACAGTATTTAGTGACCCCTTGTGTGGTCTGCACCATGGCACAATGCACACCAGAATTCTTTTCAAATAGACCATGTACAGTTCCTTCCCACACAAAGCAAAGCACTTCAGGTCAAAAAAATATGTTGGTAGGGCCGGGGATGTAGCTCAGTGGTTCCACCGCCTTCCTCGCAAGCACAAGGATCTGAGTTTGATCCCCAGTACCAAAAATAAATAAATAAAAAGAATTACATATTCATTAAAAAAAGAATGTTGAAGGTTAAATTCCAGTGGGAGTGAGGAAAAGCTTACCAGCGAAACATCTACTCCTCTGACAATTATGTAAATAAATAATTTACTTGATATTATTTTTCATTACCCTTGGTTAAGGTTTTTGTTTATGTGAACTGGTTTTCTAAAAGGCCCTGGAACTAAGGGTTGCCAGGTCATGTCAGGTCCCACCAGGCCTTACATAACTGTTCACATTTGACCTCCACGAGCAACCACATCCCCTCTCACCAAGTATTTCTGTCCGTCCTTCTCAGGCTGTGGGGATGGAGGTCTTTTTCAGATAATGGCTGCTTACACTCATTCCACACAGTAATCTGGACTCTGTCTGTCATAAAGAATCCACTTGTCAAGAACAGGCTTTTGCAAGGAAAGTTCATTCCAGTGCACAGGGACTAGAATCAGGATTCTTGCAGCTGGCTGGGAAAAGCCAAGTTTATCACAACCGTGTGTGGATGGGCTGACCATGGGGGAGAGAGGGGCAGCTGGCTGGGAGAGGTTTCACCCATGGGTAGATGGGCTGACACCAGGGCAGAGACATCAGCAGCTAACTGGGAAAGGAATCAGGGTTATGTAGGTACTGAAGGGGCCAAGGGATAACGTGGGGTGAAATATTCATGACTTGGACGCCCAAGGACACTCTCTCAGATGTGTAGACAATCACTGGACTTCTTGGTGCCAGGGGGTTGTATACTACATTTTAAGTCCATTTGCCCTATTTACCAAGAGCTGCTGTTGTTTGCTAGAAGCAGCCTGTTTTCTTTGACCCATCTGTTTGTGAAGGACTCCAGTCAGACCTGATGCTATTCTTCTTCAGATTTAATAACATTGAGAGCTGATTCAGAATGTTTTGTTCTCATCTCTTTACTGCTTTCTCGAGTCTACAGGGAATGGACTTTGTTCCCACATGCTAGCGATGTGCCAGCTTATTCTTGGAGATGTACAGTCAGTCACACCCTTGCAACTTTTAGTTATGAGAGCAAGGAGAGGAGAAAAGTATTTGGGAACATCTTGAAGCAAGCTCCCATTCGGACCCTGGGGCCCTGGGCTGTAATTATCACTTGGTATCTGAGCTTCCGCCCTCCAGCTTCTACCGAGCCGTCCACCATGCCATTTACAGGTCCCAGTGTGGCCCCAGCCCATTCTGTGCTCACCACCCATCCTCTTTTTCATGAAGACCCGGTGGGACCAGCTCTTTCCTAGTCAGTCCACTGTTGGGGGCTGGACAGCAGGAGGACCCTCAGGAGGTCAGTCAGTGCGTGCCAAGGTGAGGCAGACCCGGGGAGATTAACTTAAATTGGATTTTCTCACATCAGGAGATATTTTATTTTATTATGTCTTTTTTTGTGCCCTCATACCCAAGAAAACTGGCCGAAAGGGCAGAACCCACTGATCCAACGAATAGTTGCCTGTCTACTGTGTGCTTGGTGTTAGGCAAAAAGGAGGGAGAGAGTTCAGTGGAAAGGAGATCTATCTATGCAGGGAAGCCCCTCTGTGTATTGTGAGGCTGGGGTCCTCCTCCCGCCTGGAGCACCCTGGCCTCCTGCATGTGTCCTGCTCCATCCTCAGTGTGCCCACTGACTCTCAACACACTTGTCCCATTCTCCTGGGAGGCACAGTCACCTGTACATGTGGCTTAGGTCTTTTACTGGCCCCTGAGATCCTTGAATCAACTCATCTCTGTATCTCCCCAGGCCACCAGTGCAACAAAAGTCTATATGATAACAGCCACCATGCCCGGCAGGACTAGAGTTATCCTCAAACACTAGTTTCATAATGAAGTTCTTTTGTTGGGGATCTTTTAATGATGGATTTTTGAAAGTGACTGGAAGCATTTTCCTCTGTTACATTGTTCAAAGAAGGTCCAGTTTTGTTTTGTTTTTGCAATCTTGCAAAGTTAGGTCAAAGCTAATCTGGACCTGGACCACTCTGTAATCTCTGGGTGTTCTTTCTTTTTTTTTTTTGGTACTGGGGATCGAACTCGGGTCCTTGCACTTGCAAGGCAGGCCACCGAACCACTGAGCTAAATCCCCAGCCCTGTTCTTTCAATAGTGCAGCTTTCACCTTCATGAAAGCCTTATAGCTGCATTGGGCATGCCTCACAGGGCTATGCTGAGCCAGGCCAGGGAGCTGATGAAGGGGTGCTTGGGAGACCTGTGTTGCCTTCCCAGGGCAGAGTTAGTTTAGCAATGACTTTGGTGAAAGCATAAATGGAAATAGATTAGCCCACTTTTTCAAGCCCCATTTGTGTGATTTTACAAAATCCAAGGCGTGAAATTAAATACACTTCCCTGTTCTACGCATATTGCACACTTGAGAAACGGTGGGAAAAACAACTGGCCCAGCAAGTTGGCTTGCGTCACCTACAACACTGATTCAGACCCTAACCCTGGGGGTGACCGTCCCAGGTGACTACTTAGGGAGTAGTCACCTCTTCACTATAGGGAGGGTCCCTGAGACGTACCATATTTTCCAAGAGACGAGATTTCTCTTTGGTTCAGGGAAGTATTTATGAGCCTCGACTTTCTGTATATAACATCAAGTTGGAAGGTGTACGTGGGTCCTGAAATTTCTGACAGGACTGAGTCCTTTAAGCCTCAAGAACACTTTCCAAAAGTCATGACAACTGGATCAATCCTCCTGATAAATGTCACCATGCTGGTCTTCTACATAGAAATACTCCAGAATCTGACACACACACACACACACGCACACACACACGCACGCGCGTGCACGTGCACCCACGTGCTCTTAAGTCCTATGGCTGAAATTCATCTTCATGAACCAACCAGGTTCAGATGGTTGATAGAATAAATAATGCCCTGGAAATGAGAAAAAAAATCTGGGTTTTGTTCTCAGCAAACCACTGCAGATCCTGCATTGGCTTTACCCCTCTAGGTCTTTGTTTGCTCAGCTGTAAAACAAGTGGAAGCCGATGGATTTTCAAAGCCTGCTCCTCAGACCACTGGCTTCACATTCATATGGGGCTGAGGGGCTGCTTCTTGGGGTCCCACACGAGACCTACGAAAGCAGCATTCTGAGACAGCATTCAGATACCTGTTTTATATAATGATGGATTTTCTGCTCATTAAAGTTTTTCCTAAGCTTTTTTTTTTTTTGCAAGCAAAAAATATTCATTTAAAGTTGTAAGGCTACAGAATTAGAGTAACCCTAAGATCTCTTCCAACTCCAAAGCATCCTAGGAATCAGCTCACTTGACACATTTCCACACAGGGCTATCTCCTAAGTACATGACTATGGACTCTGTCCTCTCTGGATAGTAACTGTTCCAGGTCAGAGTGCACTGTGCACAAAGGTATCTGAGGGATGTGGAAAAAAAAAAAGTGTTTTTCAAATGTACAGCTTCTCTCAAAGGTTAGTTTGCATATTTCCTCATGGGTTCATCTCCTGGACAAAGCAACTTTGGACTCTGTGTTGCTTTTTTTTTCAGTGCACTGCTTTAGGTTCAAGTGTGATCCTGCAGCATGTGCAAATGTTGTCTCAGTGATTTAGAAAAATAAAAAAAAGAGTTTAAAAAATGGGTGGCCTTTCTCAAAGAGCAGCTAAGTGCAAAGCGTGCTTGATAGAGGTCCCCTTGAAAGTCGGACTCAGTGTAGAATACACGGGTGTCACACTCTCCACACTCATGGGACACTTTAGGGGACAGGACTGTTGCCTGGACCAGAGGTATAGTTTGCGAATTCCTGATCCAAATATCGGAAGCACTTCAAAAACCTGAACTTTTAAGTGTCAACATGATGCTACCCAAGAAGAGATTTACACCAGGAAACCCCATTTCATGCACAAAATTATTAACTATGTTGCAAAAAACTAGCCTGTGTACATAAATGCATAAAAAATTAAACAAAATTCGTGATTAGACTCGGGATCCAATTCCCAATATCCCCAAATTCATGGCCAAATGTTCCCAAATCTAAAAAATTTGAAACCCATCCAAAACACTTCTGGGTCTAAGCTCCTCAGATAAGGGATACTCAGCCTTGTCTCCAGTTGTACTTTATTACAGAACCAGACGTTACTTGGGTCATTTAATTCTGAGCTTTTCGCCAGCCGACTCCAGGCCCTTGGAAGTCACCCGAAGGCGAGTGTGCTAACTTGTGGGATCACTGAGGTGCTAATGTTTCAGCACCTCCAGGAGTGGTACAAAGATCACTGAGTAGTAGTAGCACTTACAACTTCCCACTGAGGAAGCTGGTAGAATGACAGGCTCCAGGAAGGTCTTCCTGTTACTAAGTCCTGCAGCTTTCTTTCCCCCAGGCAACTACAAGCTGTTGGGAATTTTCCCCTAAGGACCTTGCCCCTCAAATAATTTGGCTGTCTCTAAAATTATCATTTCCTTCCCAATTTTTATATGAGGCCTACAATGACAGGATTATTTATTTCACGCCACATGAAACAGAGGCGGAAGCTTCCTGGCTTCTCCCGCGTGAATCGACATTTCATCTTTCTGCAGCACTAGGCCAAGGGCTTGTTCTGCCTTTGTTTACTCAGCTATGTAATGCAGAGCTGACCAGAGGGGTGCTGATCTTTCCCAGCTCTAAGACCTCACCTCACTAGGAGAGGACACAGGCTTTGAAGTTGGACAGACCTAGTGTGGAACCCTAAGCCTCTGGCTGCTCAGTTGTACCAATGGTTAGGTAGGTAATGATGTGTATTCTGGGCAGTAAAAGCATCACTGCAGGGCTCCTCACAGAAGGGTATTCCCAAAAGGTGGGGCTGCCTGGCTCCCTCTGCTGTCTCTCCCTCCACTTCTGTCAAGAGAAGCAACCCTTGATCCAGAGACGAGCTGGGGGAGGGGAAGTGTCTAGTTCAGGCACAAGCTGTTTGGAGGGGACACCATCAGCCCGGGAGAACGGTTTCTTCCTGGCCCAGGACCCCTTGAGCATGACGTTATCGATTCGGGTCAGGTTGAAATGTGGCAGAAGGTAACACGGGTCCCTTGCTACAGGTACAGAGGGGGCTCACCAGGGCACCCCAGCAGATCCCGAAGTCTCCTCCTTGGGCACGGGGTGGGGGCACCTGCTCTCTGCAGCGAGAAGCCAGGAATGCTAGCAGCGCTGGGAGCTGGACGAAATCCTGAAGACATTCTCGCGAAAGGAGGGCTACAACTTGACTTTCCCACCATGACACGGCCCATCGGTCGTAGGGTGAGGACGTGCATCTGTGCTCAGGTCTGCACGTTAGCGCGGGTGTGTGGACAGGTGACAAGAGAGGACTTTGGAGACGGCCGCTCTGCTACCCAGCCCGTGAGGCTTCAGCTCTCTGGGCCTCTGGGACACGTGGAAAGCCCACCTGCTGGGTTAAAAAGCTACACTGCAATCACAGCGGGCCTTCCCTGTCCTGGCTTTCAGCCTCTGCGGATTCAACCAAGCCTGGGGAGAAAATACCAGGAGAAAGAAATGGCGACTGTGTCCAATGAACCCAGGCTATTTTTCTTGTCCTATTTCCTAAACAACACAGTGCCAGCCCTTTACACTTAGGAGCCGTTACAAGTCATGGAGAGTTGCTGCAAGGCGTAGAGTGGGTAGGACTCGCTTGGGGCGTGCACAGTCGTGCCCCCTGGGGTCCCGCACCCTGTCCCTCCTCCCGCACGGAGCAACGCGGGGGTGGGGGAATGGGGTGCTCAGCACGACCTGCAGGCGATGATAGCCACCATCCATCAGCTTGGCGAGAACCCAGTGCCACCCCGGTCCGCCACCCTGAGCCCGCCCCGTTCCAGGGCAGGGCCCGGCTCACCTGGGGAGGCCAGCAGCACCCTGGAGCTGCAG